TGTTAGAATTGGATTTCAGGAGTTGCAGTTGTTTTATTTACTGTTAGTATTATTTTGCTTTATAATAATAAAGTTTGGTATGACTGTTTGTGTTTTATTAACAGCACCATGTATCAGTATTAACCTGGCTCTTATGCATGCACAATAGTTATAATTTTCAGCTGCAGGTCAACTTGTAGTATTTCTTATTTTCTTGGATAATTGTGCAAGAGTAGATTGCATAGATAAGTGTCGTTCTGAAAACTATAGATAAGATACTGTTAATTTATGCTATTTTACAGACGTGAAGTCTGACGGGCTTGAACTGTTCAAGCTCCTGTTTCCTGAGTGTTACTTCTTGGGGCCTTCAGACAAAAGAACCGGTTAAAATTTAAAAAAGCCAATATCTCTGCACTGCTGCCAGAGCTGTTCAGTCACAGGAGAGGTGTGGGTCACAGGAGGCTTCGACAACACCTCTCTACATTAAGACAGGTTTTGAAGCATATTTCTACAACAAAGATATTTGAAAAAAGTTACATACTGTAGCTTTAATTAAAGTGTAATCAAGATTGACTGATCATGCAGTTAACCAATATGTAGAGGTCTAACTATTCTAGGAGGGAATGTAATGCTCAAAGTTGGCAAAGCTGTAGTCAATTCAGTTCAGTACAGCCGTATTTGGTACAGTACTTTTAAAAACAAAATGTTTTCCTCAGTAACAGACACACGTCAACCACTAACTTAAACATCATCAGTCTTGCATTTATTAGAGAATGGCTTAAAGAGACAAACAAACCACTGAGCCTTAATCAGCTTACTGTATGTCCATTGTTTCTGGGATATTTGCTGAGCACAACATGACAGATATATCACAAAGATAATCATGTGTAAATACAGCCAGCTAAATGGAAAACATGTCCTTTAACAGCCAAATAGTAAGTACCAAAGGTCACATAGCTGTCATAGATTGTATTGAGTGTGGACCTGACCTTTAATTGACCATTTAAAGAGCTATTACATCATTACCTGACCCGTTATGAACCATTCATAGTATGTAACAATTTTAACAATAGCCATATAAATAAGACAACATTACCCTAGGATTCAACTCAAAGCCTTTTAGAAAGAAATCCCTAAATATTGTACAACAGTGACAACTGGGTGTGTGTACATCATATCAACACAAACAGTGCAGATGTCTCAATGAGCAGATATTGAGGTTCTGCCCTGTGTTCAAACTTAAAATTAAAGTGGATGCCTGGGCTTAGTTGAAGCACATGCTACTTTGAAATTTTAGACCACTTTGGTTGTCCACTTTTCTCTGTTGTACCACTCTTAATATCCCATGGACAATGTCTGGACTCATGTCAGGGACTCAACCGCCGGCGTCGTCTCATGCAGCAACGAAATTAGACCTAAAAAATGGACAATTAAATTTGTTGCCAATTATTTTTAATATTGATTATCAATGAATTCCTACAGCCCTAAGAATGATGACGCTTTTTTAATTTGGTGCAAGTTTTTTATTATTCTGGCTCTACTTGGTCCAAAGTTTTATAACCAGTAAATGTGTTTACAATTAAGGCAATGATATGCTATTTATACAACCTCTTTAAAGAAAACACTGTTACTCACTTGTAAAATGTAGAAAAACAAATTAGGTTGCCGAGATTCTGAGAAGCGTAAACGAATCATCATGAATCAAACTAAATAAACATAATCAATTGTGGACTTGGTGAATCAAAATCATAAAATTTTTTGTGTGTTTAGCGAAAGTCTTTAATTAAAGGTTTGCACATCTTCTGCTTTAAACCATACACAATCAGCCCAACAATTTAACCAAAAATGTCATGATGCCAGCCTGTATGTGACCTCATTCTCTGAAATAAATAAAATAACTTTAGTGTCAGGGGTGATCCTTACTTCCATTCCTCCCTCTGCTCACAACAACAACACAGACAAATCAACAATAGCAGGACACAAGGTAAGAGGTCTGCTGTATCTCTGTGTATGTGTAGGCACACATCTGGTATTGCTCACAGTGTGTGGACCAAAACTGGTTTACATACTCACATTGATCTGAGTCAACCTTTCCCATAGAGATCAGATGCTGGTCCCCACCTTCAATACATTTTAGGGTGATGATAAGGTTAGGGTAAGTCTCTAAGAAATTAATGTAAGTCACTGTGTATCTGTATGTATGCAACAGAGAGCCAGAGACCAAAAACAGGGCCTGGGAAAAATGCACCAAATACCTGAGTAAGACACCGGCAGTGCAATTAAAAGCTTATCGTAGTCATCCCTTGAAATGTGAGACACCAGCATTTACATCAGACACTAAAAGGTCATTCAGATCTATTTTAGTACATGCCTGTAACTCAGTCACAAACTCGAGTGGTGAAGAAAAGAAATGTGTGTTTCCACGTGTTGGGCTACATTGATTTAGCCTACATAGTATACCAAACCTATGCAGCGTATAATTAAGGCATTATTAAATGTCAGCGCTTCTTGAGGGTGTAATTTGTTTTGCAACAGGCATGTTTCAACACATGTTTAAACAGTAAATGACAAATGACTAAGGTGAAAATAGGTAACACAGAAATTATGGTTGTCATCAACATGTACATATGCACACACAAACACACACACAGACAGCTTAGCAAGTCTGCTGCAAAGTTAGCACTATGAAAGGAAGGATATAGTGGTTTAGACTGCAGCAAAAAGGCTTACAATATATGACCTGT